AAGGACGGCAATGCCAGTGGAACCACCCTGCTTGAAGCTCTGGATTGCATCCTGCCACCAACTCGCCCAACTGACAAACCCTTGCGTTTGCCTCTCCAGGATGTCTACAAAATTGGTGGTATTGGTACTGTCCCTGTGGGTCGTGTGGAGACTGGTGTTCTCAAACCTGGCATGGTGGTCACCTTTGCTCCAGTCAATGTAACAACTTAAGTGAAGTCTGTAGAAATGCACCATGAAGCACTGAGTGAAGCCCTTCCTGGGGACAATGTGGGCTTCAATGTCAACAACGTGTCTGTCAAAGATGTCCGTCGTGGCAATGTGGCTGGAGACAGCAAAAATGATCCACCCATGGAAGCTGCTGGCTTCACAGCTCAGGTGATTATTTTGAACCATCCAGGCCAAATCAGTGCTGGATATGCACCTGTGCTGGATTGTCACACAGCTCACATTGCTTGCAAGTTTGCTGAGCTGAAAAAGATTGATTGCCATTCTGGGAAAAAGCTGCAAGATGGCCCTAAATTCTTGAAATCTGGTGATGCTGTCATTGTTCATATGATTCCTGGCAAGCCCATGTGTCTTGAGAGCTTCTCTGACTCTCCTCCCCTGGGTCGTTTTGCTGTGTGTGACATAAGACAGACTGTCACTGTGGGTGTCATCAAAGCAGTGGACAAGAAGGCAGGTGGAGCTGGTAAGGTCACCAAGTCTGCCCAGAAAGCTCAGAAGGCTAAATGAATATTATCCCCCAAATCTGCCACCCCAGTCTTAATCAGTGGTAGAAGAACAGTCTCAGAACTGTCTCAATTGGCCATTTAATAGTAAAAGACTGGCTAATGATAACAATGCATCATAAAACCTTCAGAAGGAAAGGAGAATGTTTTGTGGACCATATGTTTGGGTGTGGCAGTTTTAAGTTATTTTTAAAATCAGTACTTTTTAATGAAAACAACTTGACCAAAAATCTGTCACAGAATTTGAGACTCATTAAAAAAAAAAGCTTAATGAAAAATGTAACTTTTTTGTTACATTCAATTAAAGCTTTATTTTTTATGAGAATGAATGTAATCTATATTTTTTTGTACTTTTTATTTTGTTTTGGGGTATAGCCAATTAACAACAGGACTCAGCCATACATATACATGTATCCATTCCTCCCCCCATAACCCCTTCCCATATAGGCTTCCATATAACACTGAGCAGAGTTCCATGTGCTATACAATAGATTTTTGTTGGCTGTCCGTTTTAAATGTAGCAGTGTGTACATCCTAATATAAATTCTTTTTTAATACATACATATATATATACACCAAAATCACTGCAGATGGTGACTGCAGCCATGAAATTAAAAGACGCTCCTTGATAGAAAAGCTATGACAAACCTAGACAGCATATTAAAAAGCAAAGACTTTGCCAACAAAGGTCCATCTAGTCAAAGCTATGGTTTCTCCAGTAGTCATGTATGGATGTGAGAGCTGGGCCATAAGGAAAGCTGAGTACTGAAGAATTGATGCTTTTGAACTGTAGTGTTGGAGAAGACTCTTGAGAGTCCCTGGGACTGCAAGGAGATCAGTCATGAATATTCATTGGAAGGACTGATGCTGAAGCTGAAACTCCAATACTTTGGCCACCTGATGCAAAGAGCCGACTCATTGGAAAAGATCCTGATGCTGGAAAAGACTGAGGGCAAGAGGAGAAGGGGGTGACAGAGGATGAGATGGTTGGATGACATCACTGACTCAAAGGACATATGAGTTTGANATTTATATATATATAGTTATATATATATATATCTGTCATATTTATGACAGACTGTATGATTTCAATACCTTTATACCATGAAATTTTTGCACCCTGTTTTATGTCCCTGAATATGTTCCAATGGCTCCTAGTTTACAGTCTATGGGAACTTGAATAGAATTTGTATCCTGCTGTTGTGTGAAAATTGTATAAATCATAATTCTGTTGAATTGGTTCATAATGATTTTCAGGTCTACTATATCCTTCTACTTTTCTGTCTATTCTATTTTTGAGAGTTTGATATTGAAACTCCAACTAAAAATCTTAATTTATCTACTTTAAAATAATTGTAATATATAGTGGAAATACATGTAACTTTGTTCTGTATTTTCCAAGTCTCCTGTAAATGTGTTTATCATTCTTTCATAATTTAAAATAATAAAAAATGAGGAAAAATAATAGTTTCAATCAACATTCTGTCAACAAGATGATTTCTCTCATGAGATCAGCCCAGGGCACAGAGGTAATTACATCTGTGGCTCATGGATCCACTAATTCCTTGTTGCTACTTGTAGCTTAAACTGAAGGTAGAACAAAAGAAGGTGGAGTGACAGTATTTCACCAAACTGGAAGGAGAAGAGACAGTTCTATCATTGTTCTTATTTCTGTTCCCTGTACTTACCAATCACTAATGCTTTTGTGTAGTCTTACATATGTCCTGGGTTTGGTTGTTCTGATGGCCTTATAGACCTTCCTAATGCAGACATTAATTGACTGAAGGTCCCAGCTATGCTTTAAAATCTATCTCTGAGGCTGCATCTCCCATGGGCTGCTCCCTGCCAATAGCTGAGTGCAGTGGGGATACAAAGGCAGACCCACTCCTGGGAGAGACAAGACTCTTCATTGGCTGACTTTGGCTCAGTGACTCCACAATGACTTTGATGAACTTCATGGCAGGCAGTTTTGGACACCTTCTCTTCTCTTCCTTACTAAGTCAGATTTGCTTCATGACCTGAGGCATCTCTCATCATTCCTAAGTACCTTCCTATTTTCTTGCATACAGGTATTTTCCCTAATGAAGTCCTTGCACATTTAATTAATTCTCACCATTTACTTTTTGGAGCATCTGGAATAACATGGTTGTCATCCTGCCAGCCCGTCCTATGGCTATGTGTTGTGGGTACTTTGTACTCTGTTTTGTTCCAGACATAACTGTCTTAATATTACTCCTCCTATCTCACCCTGCCACACAGTCACAAGGGACTCCATGTACTGTTATCATTAGTAGTTTATTTATTAAGCCCACAAACATAGAAGGTGCTGTGTTGATCACCCTTTATTAGTTTATAGCTATCTGGCACGTATCCATGAACATAGGACATTCAGAGAACAGAACAAAACCTTTAAACCAGAAGTGAAGGAATTTCATACTGACATATCACACATTATGGGAATGCTTAGAGGTTTGGAAGCCATGTGATTTCTCAGCCTTAAAAAAAAGATGAAATCTTACCATTTGTTACAACATGGATAGACTTGAGGGTATTATGCTAAGTGAAATGTCATTCAAAGGAAGACAAATAGCATGCAATTTCACCACATGTGGAATATTTTTTTTTTTAATTTTAAAATGAACCATCTGAACCATTCAAAAACAAACATGTAAACAGGTAATGGTTATTAAACAGGTAATGGTTATCAGAGGGGAAGACTGAAGTGGGGAGGGAAGAGTGAGTAAGAGGAGTCAACTGTATGGCCAGAGATGGAAAGTAAGCCTACTCAATGGTGAATTTGCTGTAATGTATACAGAAGTCAAAATATAATACTGTACACATAAAAAATATAAACCAAAAAATAAGGAAAATGATATCCTAGCAGGGTACAGAGAGCCTGGCAAAAGCCAAGGGGGCAGCTGCACTTCGCTGAAGGCTTTCTCCTGAGATTGGTGGTTCTAGTGCTCAGTCTGGTCCAAGACCCCACCGCCCACCAAGGGAATTGGGAGGAGGCTGGTGGGCAGCCTGTGCTGTGGGGGCCAGGGATGATAGCCTAGTGGTGTTCCTGCAAGCACTGGCCTGCACTACCAAAGAGAGCTGAATAAAAGACTGCCTGGAATTTCTTACAGCCTGAAGAGAATGGGGCAAGAGGGGCCTCCTTGCCAGGACAAAACCTTCCCTGAGTCTTGGAGGACAAGGTCCCATGGGAGCTGGTTGAGCGGGAAATGCCAAAGGAAAAGAGCAATAGCAGCCCAACCAATGATCTTAGGATGTCTGCAAGTTCCTCTCAAATGGTGGAGTAAGTCATGTATACAGAGAGAGAGTAAGAAAGCAAATGTGGGAAAATGTTAACTGGTGCATTGAGATGAAGAATATATGCAGTTACTCTTCTTGCAAATTTTCATAAGTTTCAGTGTACTTTTTAAAGGAATAATTAGTACTTAGCCAGTTTCATGAAGCCATGAAATTAAAAGACGCATGCTCCTTTGAGGAAAAGCTATGACCAACCTAGACAGCACATTAAAAAGCAAAGACATCACCTTGCTAACAAAGGTCCATATAGTCCAGCTAAGGTTTTTCCAGTAGTCATGTAGGGATGTGAGAGTTGGACCATGAAGAAGGTTAAGCACCCAAGAACTAATGTTTTCAAATTCTGGTGCTAGAGAAGACTCTTGAGAATTCCTTGGACTGCAAGGAGATCAAACCAGTCAATCCTGAAAGAAATCAATCCTCAATATTCATTAGAAGGACTAATACTGAAACTGAAACTCCAGTACTTTTGGCCACCTGATGCAAAGAGCTTACTCATTAGAAAAGACCCTGATGCTGGGAAAGATTGAAGGCAAGAAGTCAAGGGACAGCAGAGAACAAGATGGTTGGACGGCATCACTGACTCAATGGACATGAGCTTGAGCAAGCTCTGGGAGATGGTGAAGGACAGAAAAGACTGGGGTGCTGCAGTTCATGGGGCTGCAAAGAGTCAGGCATGACTGAATGACTGAACAACAACAAATCCCACTATATCAAACTATTTGCATATAAATCACCAAGCATAGTGCCGGAACTATGGAAAATGCTCAATAAATATATATTGCTCCACATCTCCTCTCTGTTTTTAGTCTGAGCTCTATAATAACCATAGCCTGTAATGATTCAGACTCTACCAACACAGCTTGAATACCTACCATATGCCAGGCACTAGTAATTGCACTCACAAGCATGATCTAATATTCACCCCAGCACTGTGAGTCAGTTGTTGTAATCCTTGTATTATGGACCGGGAAAATTTAAGAGAACTTTATCCCATCAAAATGGATGATGTTTATCATGTCTCTCATCGTTGCATTTACCATTGCAATCTGTGATCTACTATAATCATACAATAAGAATCTAGTAACATAATAGAACCTTCATAAATATACAGATGCCAGTCACAATTTGTGAGAAAACTGTAGCAGGGAAAAAATGAATTTACTTGGCTAACTCAGTGATATGAGCGGCAGGGAAGATGGGCAGGTAGAAAATGTTTGGGACTTGATTTGCTGGCCTGATGCAGATGAAGTTTGACAGCAACTAGAAGGTTACTTCAGAAACAGATAATTGAAAGAGTCAGTCTAGGAGTATCATAACTCTCAGTTTTTCTAGGTTACTTAAGTTCTATCTGATTAATTCAATCATCAGGAGCAATGCATCTGGACTTTATCTTTTAGTCCCCCAAAGAGATGCTCTCATTGGTGGTTAGAGGTAGTATCACATAGNCCCACACCCCTGCGCTCCCCTCCCCAGTCGATAAAGAATCAGCCTCCAATGCAAGAGACTAGGGTTCGATCCCTGGGTGGGGAAGATCCCCTGGAGAAGGGAATGGCTACCTACTCTAGTATTCTTCCCTGGAAAATCCCATGAACAGAGGAGCCTGGCGGGCTACAGCCCACGGGGTCACAAGAGTAGGACACGACATGATGACTAAACCACCACCACCACCCCCAACATACACATACCTAGAGAGAAAAGAAAAAACTGGGCTAGAGAGATGGATTATAGCAGCGTGTGCAGCTGCACTTTTATGCCCCACCCGCAAACACAGGAGGAGTTCCCTAATTACCTAAAAGCCTAGTCGGCACTAGGAACCAGACCTCCTTTGTCTGCTTTGAGTCACTTTGAAGACCAGGCCATAGAAAATCCAAGGAGGTCACAAAGCCAACTTCAGGTTAGCTTTCCTTTGGAAATGCC